ACAACCGTGTTACTAATTTAACAACTGCAGCGATTCACCCCACAACTGTGGCAAGAAAGGTCGTAAAATGGAGCAAAATTCACTTAACAAACGTCTCACTTAGCCACAGAAATTTTGGGCTGAATTGTGGTCGTAAATCAAGGACTACCTGTATAGAAATTTAATATTTATTGAAAACCATTCTAGGACTAGATTATTATTATGCACAGAATCATGCTACATCCAAAATTTTTAGAATTCATATTCTAATGTGATATATAGTTTATAGCAGTGGCTGGCTGGGGAATTCTGGGAGTCGAAGTCCACATATCTTAAAAGTTGCTGAGGTTGAGAAACACTGGTTTATAGAATTGCTTTAACGTATTCTCAAAGGTGCTTTTCCATTTTTTAAAAAGCAACTGGACTGTTTTTGTTTTTAAAAAAATTTAAAAAGCACTTTTGAGACAACCTGGGTGACCTGGATGTCTGAGAATCTCTATGGAGATTTAATGTATTATTTACTGTCTATATTTTTTTAATGACTTGAAGTAAATTAACCAAGCTTTAGCTTAAAGTTCAGTAGAGGCAGGCAAATTTTGTTTAGAAAATAGATATGAAATACCTCACAGTACTTTTAAGTTTCTAATGCCAGGGGTAGTCAACCTTGGCTCTTTTATGACTTGTGGACTTCAACTCCCAGAATTCCTGAGCCAGCTGTGCTGGCTCAGGAATTCTGGGAGTTGAAGTCCACGAGTCATAAAAGAGCCAAGGTTGACTACCCCTGTATTACACTATACTAGCTATGTATTTCAGATCAGGTGCATATCTGCCTGTATTTCACTACCTGTGTCATCTTACATTCTTTCAAAAATGTCTAATAATAAATGGAGGAAAAATAGGTGTTTTGAGCTCCTCCTAAATTGTTACAAGGAAGGGCTCAGCCTCAGGGTCTCGCTGCAACATTTTCCTTAATTTACTGCTCATCCATTCTAAGACTTACAAAGAAGTGCCTTGAAAAAATGCAGGGCGACTTGTGCAAGCATCCTGCAAAAGATACTACTTCTATTCTGAAGATCAACCAAGGAGAAGACAAAGACATTAAAAAAAACACCTTATAAGAATGGAGATTAGAAAGGATCCATGTAATATTCATTCACTCTATAGCAAACTTTGATTTTATTTCACTGCTGGGAACATGACTGAGAGGGATGCTAAAGCTGGACCGATATCACACAATATCCTAGGAAGCAACTTCTTCCACATCTGGATATATTAAAACCCAGTGTGTATATTAATTTCCAATTGAAAGTACACTAGGTTAAACTTGACACATTTAAGTTCTACTTAGGCTTAAGCACTTTGGTTGATGTAGCCTTGCTATAAAGAAACATGACAAGATCTAGATCAGAGGTACCCAACCTTGGCAACTTTAAGACTTGTGGACATCAACTCCCAGAATTCTCCAGCCTGTAATTCTGGCAGGCTGGCGAATTCTAGGAGTTGAAGTCCACAATTCTTAAAGTTGCCAAGGTTGGACGCCCCTGAACTAGATTATATGTCTGATCTGATAACAAGCTATTCAGAAACATTGGTCAACTTGGGAGGAAATTTAAACTCAAGATTAAGTCTTAATGATTTGACCCTTTATTTAAAATACCATAACTATCCTCCAGAAAACCACCCACTGCCATCTTTAGACTAGCTAATCTGGTTTGTAAACCATACTTGTTTGGCTTAGTGTGATATATGAACTCAGTTGTGGGTTATTAATCAAACATGGCTTAGTATGTGAGCCAGGTCGGATAGACCCATGAGAAAATGGCAATGTTGCAATAAAGATAATGCTCCTATGTTTTACAGAGACAAAGCTACAAATCCTAAGTAGCATCATAGTCCTAAACAATCAAAGATTGATGTTACCGCATAGTATTTGCTTGGCCACTCAGTTCCAATGACTGGATCCTATAGGGATCATTTAAGAACAAAACATTCATGGAAAAGTCAAAAGAAAACACATTTCTAGAAACATAATAAATAACTTTTCAAAAAAGTAATGATATGTATGTTGTCAAAATTAAAAAAGCAGCAAAAAAATAAAAACCATCAGATAACACCTTAAATATTTGTGAGCTTATTAATGGTCAGCATGATCAAAATAAATACAAAAATATACAGATTAGTAGCAGCACACATACAAAAAAAAAATCAATCTACTGGCCAGTGAGACAACTTGATAAATATTTCATTTCTTTTGTTTTCCCTTTCCAATTGTCACCTCTTAAGGTCTATAATCATTATGTCTGCAAACTTCCAAACAGGCTGAAGATTTATGCCAAAAAAGATACCAATCTTTTACCTTCAAGAGCTAATCTGGAGTCCTTGATGTCTCTGGACTTGTTTTCTTGCATTGTGAGTGCTAGAAGGGACTAGGGCAGTGATGTCGAACCTTTTAGAGACCGAGTGCCCAAAAACTGGCCCTGCCCCCACTCCACCCCCTGCCCCACCCCCGCTCCGCCGCCACCCCGCCTGCCCATAAGGTCACTCACCGTCTCCAGGGCCCGCCGCAGATCGCCCAGTCAGCCCAGCAGCGCCATGGCAGCCATGCCCTCTGTCTGCGCCCCGCAGCATCAACTGTGCGCGATGGGGCGTGAGGGCAGAGTCTTGTCTACGCTGCCTGGCTGCCATGTCCTTGGCTGCGTTGCTCTGCGTGGGCCACGCTTGGAAGAGACTCTCCTCCAGGGAGGCTGCTGGTGAGGAGGGGGTTGCAGGGGGAGGCAAGGCTGGGGCAACAGCACGTGTGCCCACAGAGAGGGCTCCAAGTGCCGCCTCTGGCACCTGTGCCATAGGTTCGCCACCATTGGACTAGGGCAGTGGTTCTCAACCTTTTTAATGCCGCGACCCCAACCGGTCGTAAGTCGAGGACTAAACCGGTCGTAAGTCAAGGACTACCCAACCGGTCGTAAGTCGAGGACTTTCCCTGCCCAGGAGCGCCGCGCATGCATGGTTCCACCCCCTGCACCGGCAAAGGCGTAGCTGGCAAGCGGCAGAGATGGAGCAGGCCGACCACCAGCTGGCCCAGCCCAAGGGAGGTAAAGGCACCCGCCGGAAAAGGGGGGAAAATGGCGGCCAAAAAAAATGGCGGACAAAAAAAATGGCGGACAGCCTTGCTTGGCGACCCCCATGAAATGGTCAATCGACCCCAAATGGGGTCCCGACCCACAGGTTGAGAACCACTGGACTAGGGTTTGCTCTGAGATGATGTTAGTACTGATGATGTTACCTAGTTGGGTAAGGAAATGTCTGCAAGAAAACCACCAAGCTCAGAGAGCACCAAGTACCCCACAGTTCAACCCTGAGCTACAAATATTCTCTTCTATTGGTAAAAGCAACTGTACCCTTCATAATCCACTTGGATTTTTGATAGATCTGTTCTCAATGAAATCAACAGCTGAGTTTTAGGACAAGTAGTAATTAAGCACTCCTCCATCTCAATTCCTATCTTAAGTATCTCAGTTTTTCATTTCTTTGCATGGATATGTTCTTTGTGTTCGTTTCAAATCTAGTCTTTTCTCCCACTTACAAAGGAAAGTTATCATCTCTAACAATAGGACTGAACCTAGCAAAGGATTAAACCCTATTTAGTGTGTCCAGATGTGCTAAGTTTCGAACTCTCGTATATGGTGGTGGTGGAATTGTGGGAATTGAAATCCAACACATCTGAACAGGGTTGGGGTGGAGAGCTTTTAGCACCTACCTCTAAAGACTATGATTAGGAGAATTAGAAAAGCAACTTTCCCAAAGCTTAAAACTTAGAAGGTTACAAATGAAAAGTTAAAAACAAAAAGACGCCCATGAGGAAGAGAGGTTTGCATCGTGTTGGTGTTATGGTGGAATGCTGCATCATTGTCACTTGAACAGGCATTCAACCACGGGAGCATATTTAAAAAAGAGAGAACATCAATTCCTCTAACAGTTGAGATTGCAAGGAAATGTGATTCCTGCAAGCATGCTCGAGATAGAAGTTGGTGGCCATCTACATGGTCAACCTCCAGACAAGGACAGAGATTGCTAATAGAAGAGTTTCACTTGATTTGGGTTAGAAGTTCACAAATACAGCATATATATCATGCATAGTACCTATGCATTTGTCTAAGATAGGGGTGGGCAACCATGGCCATTTTATGACCTGTGGACTTCAACTCCCAGAATTCCTGAGCCAGGATTTCTGGGAGTTGAAGTCTACAGGTCATAAAGGGGCCATAGTTGCCCATCCCAGTCTAGGATGTGCTATATGGGAAGCAGTTGCATCAGAAAGCATCATTCTGGAGATTTGGAGGCTATTGGCCTCCATTGCTAGATCTAACAACAAAACAAAACAGTACAGTACAGTACAAACCAAAAGAACTCATTTTCAGATTTTTGTTCTCAAATCAGTAATGCCCAGACTGCTTGTGGATGTTTTGCCAAAAATGGAAAGCATTTTTTAAAAAAATCAATTAATGAAAGTATCAGGAAGGGAAAAGACCCCACCTATTACAAAATAATTTGGGAACTGCTTTTCCTATTTTCGTTCAAAGTACCAAGTCAGCATCATCTTAGCAGCAATTCCAACAGATGCAAAGCCTCAAATTAGGGAAAGGAAATTCTCTCATTCATTCTAACATACTACACCCAAGCACACTTGAATTTGGTTTCAAACCCAGCACTGGATCTTCCCCCAGAATAATAATGAATGATTATTTTGCAGGAAGCTACAGCAACTTGAGGATGTTAAAAGAACCAGATGCTATTGAACTGAAGCCTGAAGCCTTTTTGAGTGCAGTGCCTGTCTTGAAAACGCTTCAGACCTCACCTGGGCATAGCATCAGGTTGCTCTTTATTAAAACAACACATCTTTTTTCCTGGCTTCTAGATGGGCCTAAAAAAAAAAAGATACTGATTTAAAAAGAATTTAAATCCTAAGACTCACTCTTTCCAAGATTCACTTGGCGCGCTTACATTTTTTTCCTTTTTTTCCGTTACTTTTTTAATAGCAGCCGGGTTCCCTACTGGTTCAATTCACCCAGTTCTTATCATTCTGACTAGCCACAGAGGTCTTTCCTGCCTCTGCTCTCCCAAATCGTTGCACAGCTGGAGATGACGGGACTTAACCAGGGAGGAAGAACTGGAAGCGTCCCCCAGACAGGTGATGCCGCCGTAGGCTGACCCTTTGTCCTTTGTTTCACCAAGTCGCCATATGCAAACATGGCGTGATGCACAGCAAAAAAAAAAAGACAGAGAGAGAGGGGATGAACCCTTCGCTACCTTCCCAAGCAAAGCTCACTCATGCAAGGGGGATGGCAGGGGACCAGTGAAAGGGGCAGGTTCTCTTTCGAAGGCAGCTAACGGGCCAGACACATCAACATCCAATATCCTGTAGCACACATTCCTGCCAATGGGGAGGTGTGACCCCGTTTCTCTTGTCTTTTTTGACTTAAATTCATTGACTTCACCGTTGGGTTTGTGAGAAGCACGGAGAGAGCTGGGGAGCAGGCCTCCTAAGGCACAGAGCACAGATGCAGGGCACGTGGCAGGCAAGCAAGCAGAAGCTGCTCCCTACATAGGGAAAAGTCAAAAAAAAAAGAAGAAGAAGAAGAAGAGCGGCTATCGGGGATCGAGTCTCATTGGACGTAGCCGAGGTTCTCCATCTCGTTCTTATACCGCTGTTCGGAGACTTTGCTCTTGTGTTGCTTGCTCTCCAAATGCTGCCGAAACTCCATCTCCTCGCTGGCCCCGGCGTTGCACATGGAGCAGTAGAACTGGCCGCTGGGGGTGACGCACATGGCGAGGTCACGAGGTATCCGCTGACGGGAGCGGGGGTTGAAATAAGGGCCTGGAGGAAAGCAAACAAGACATTTTGGGGAGACAGCCAACCAGGAAGAATTTTCCAAAAAGATGATGTCCACCAGAGCTTAGCTGGTGCATATCGACAACTCATGAGAACCAGTACGTTTTCTCAAATACAGGTAGTCCTTGACTTACAACTGTCCGTTCGTTACTTACAAGGTTTAGTAACGGTTTAAGGTTACAACAAGCACTGAAAACAGTGACTTACGATTATTGCCGCATCCCTGTAGTCACATGATCAAAATGTGGATGCTTGGCAACTGGCATGTATTTAGCACAGTTGCCGTGTCCCGAGGTCATGTGATCCAACTTTTGCAACCTTCTGATGAGCAAAGCTAATGGGGAAAGCCAGATTCATTTAAAAACCGTGCCGCTAACTTAACAACCGCAGTGATTCACTTAAAAACAATTGTGGCAAAAAAAGTGGTAAAATGAGGCAATGCTCACTTAACAACTATCTTGCTCAGCAATGGAAAATTGGACTCAGTTATGGTCATAAATTGAGGACTACCTGTATTAAGAAGACTTAAACTGCAGCACCTAGAGCGGGCTTGGGAGGGGGAGAGGATTGCACAACATGACAGCGTTGTGTGGAAGAGCGGCAGGGTGGTGTGATGCGTTGTGTGGAAGAGCGGCAGGGTGATGTGATGCGTTGTGTGGAAGAGAGGCAGGGTGGTGTGATGCGTTATTAGAACAGAACCCTTTGATATTCAGTTCTGCACTTTTTTTTTAACAAGGTAAGGAACTAGGGCTGAAATGTGGGTGTTTCCTTGGCTTAGAACAGCGATCTCCAAATTTAGCAACATTAAGATCAGTTGACTCGGAGTCCCAGATTAGTGGAATCCGACTCTCCTCAGCCATGGCTGGCTGAGGAATTCTGGGAGTTGAAGTCCACAAATCTTAAAAGTTACCAAGTTTGGCGAGAGAAACCTCTGCTTTTTATTCTACTCTAGTGAAGTGAAGTGAATAAATAAATAAATAAATAAATAAATAAATAAATAAATAAATAAATAAATAAATCTCACCAAATTGTTGTGGTATGGCCTGGGAAAGCCCTGGAGAATACCAAAAAGACTCTTGCCAATCTTGACCATACCTGTGTTATTTTGCACAGCATAAACATTCCTTCTGTTCTGCGTCATCTTGAATTCGTTCCCTTCTTTTCGTGCTTTCCTTTTGCCGGCCATTTCAGACGACTCTCTGTTTATTGACAGTAGGAAAACACCAAATTAATTGCAGGGAGGTGAGGAAAATTTACAGGCGTCAGCAGGAAACAAGTTAGCGGAACTACTGGAGCCGTTACCACGGCTGAGCGTTTAATAATACCTACAAGAACGAGTTGTTCTGTGCCTCAGCCAACCGCAGCCTTTTGGCGTGATTCTTGCCCTGATAGTGAGCCTGGGCCACTGCTGGTGAAGAAAAGGACGCATCACACAGTTTGCAATAATCGTTCTCCGTGGCCAAGATCACTCGCCCTCCTGGTTTCGGGGAGGACCCCTGGGCAAAAAAGGAAGACATATTTAGATATATCAAAGCATTTGTTTTCTTTCCAAACAAAAATTCTGAATGAGATCCCAAAAGCTGTCAATACAGTATTTTTGGACCTAGTGTTACAGCTTTGATTTTTACCATGTTTATCTATATCAGTGTTTCTCAACCTTGACAATTTTAAGGCATGTGGACTTCAACTCCCAGAATTCCACAGCCAGCATTGCTGGCTGTGGAATTCTGGGAGTTGAAGTCCACATGCCTTAAAATTGTCAAGGTTGAGAAACACTGATCTATATGACTTCGTAAGCAGTCCAAAAGTCCTTACAAGACTCCAGCTCAATGAAATGCAGTAGGTAACAGCTGAAATAGAGATTTTCTTTTGTCTCCAGTCCTGAGTTTTCTACAGAGAAACTCTGTGTTTAAAAGCATGTTTAAAAACTTTATGTATGAATTGGAGGCAAAGTTATTTGATCCAGTTTTTTGTAGTTCGGAAATCCATCAATGATCCCCAAGAGGGGAGACTAGCAGAGCTCTAAAAAAAAGCTTTTCCATTGTTTAACACAGGATGTCCAATCCAGGCAACTTTAAGACTGGTGGACTTCAACTCCCAGTATTCCCCAGCCAGCTGGCTAGGGAATTTTGGGACTTGTAGTCCACAGTTCTAAAAGTTGCCTAGATTGGACATCCCTGATTTTCAACAGCTCTTATCATCAGGAAATTCATCTTGACATGTAGTCTGAATCTCCCTTCAGGTAGTTCTCAGCTTACAGCCATTTATTTAGAGATTGTTCAAAGTTACAATGATGCAGAAAAGAGTGACTTATGACTGGTTCTTGGACTTATGACTGTCAAAGCATCCCATAGTTGTGTAATTACAGTTCAAGTGCTTGGCAACCACCATGTATTTACAATGGTTGCAGTGTCCCAAGCTCTTGTGGTCGCCATTTGCAATCTTCCCAGACGGCTTCTGAGAAGGACAGTCAATGGGGAAAGGATTAACCATACTTTAACTAGCTAATTTGTAATCTTCTTTCTGGCTTTTATTGAAAGGAATACAATTGCATTTTACTGTTTTCGTAAATTGCCCCGAAATTCTGTGCTTCAGCAGCCTATCAACAAATGAAAATTTGAATTTTAAAGCTTATTTACATTCTATTTCCTTAGCGAATTCAACATTTTTCAATTTTCATTTTCATCTGTCCGTTATTTGCCCAACAGTCTTTAGGCTGAGATACTGATTGGTTGGTTCACTGCTACTAGTAAATTTTTGATGAGTCTACTTTTCAAACTTCTTTGTAAAATCGTAGTATCATAGCTGACTTCACTGGAAATTATTCCCAACACAGCAATGACACCCATTTGCTTTTATGAGGGTAAGTATTGTGAAAAGACATTTTAGATTTTAAAGCTCTTTTTTAAAAAAATCTAAGAAACTGCCTCCACCCAGTGGCCAGCCTTATGAATTTACACTTGAATTGAGGGAATATAATTAATTCCCCTTAATTAAAGGAACTGAACTACACTGAAAGAGATATATGAATGCCAATTTTCTCTGTGTTTCTTCTAGAATACGCAGGATCATTTATTCTACAGTTTCCCAATCCTTTCAGGCTTGTGGACACATCTGAATGTGTCTTAGGGGTTGCCTTCTTCACTTGGCAGCTAGAGAGTCCTACTTCTCAGAAAATAAATTAGCGAAGATGCCATTAAAGTAACTTTAATTTTAGGCCAGGAGGCCAGGAACTAGTTATAAAATATATAACAGTATGTTGAATGGCCAAATACATAGGCAATATAATATCTGTACATCAGATGTTATAATACCTATTTATTCCCATGATCCACACACCAAAATGTCAGTTTTCTACAGGGTAGTCCTTGACTTACAACCACAACTGAGCCCAAAATTTCTACTGCTAAGTGAGACAATTGTTTAATAATAATAATAATAATAATAATAATAATAATAATAATAATAATAAAAAGTTGGAAGGGACCTTGGAGGTCATCTAGTCCAACCCCCTACTCAGGCAGGAAACCCTATATCATTTCGGACAAATGGCTGTCCAGTTTCTTCTTAAAAACCTCCAGTGTTGGAGCATTCACCGCTTCTGGAGGCAGGTTGTTCCATTGGTTAATTGTTCTGTCAGGAAATTTCTCCTTAGTTCTAGGTTGCTTCTCTCCTTGATTAGTTTCCATCCGTTGCTTCTTGTCCTGCCTTCAGGTGCTTTGGAGAATACCTTGACTACCGCTTCTTTGTGGCAGCCCCTGAGATATTGGAACACTGCTATCATTCACCCCTCATCCTTCTCTTCATTAAACTAGACATACCCAATTCCAGCAACCGTTCCTTGTATGTTTTAGCCTCCAGTCCCCTGATTATCTTTGTTGCTCTTCTCTATACTCTTTTTAGAGTCTCAACATCTTTTTTACATCGTGGTGACCAAAACTGGATGCATTATTCCAAGTGTGGCCTTACCAAGGCATTGTAAAGCGGTATTAACACTTGACGTGATCTTGATTCTATCCCTCTGTTAATTCAGCCCAGTACTGTGTTGGCGTTTTTGGCAGCTGCAGCACACTGCTGGCTCCTATTTAAACGATTGTCCTCTCACAATTATTATTATTGAGCAAGGTACCCCCTATACTATACCTGTACATTTGGTTTTTCTTGCCTAAATGTAGAACCTTGCTTTTTTCACCACTGAATGAGTTCTGCCCCATTATATGACCTTTGTTGCCACGGTTGTTAAGTGAATTGCTGCAGTTGTTAAATTAGTAAAACGGTTAAGTGAATTTGGCTTCCCAAATTCGCTTGTCAAAAGGTCGCCAAAGGGGATCACATGACCCCGGGACACTGCAACCCCCATAAATATGAGCCAGTTGCCAAGCATCCGAATTTCGATCATGTGATCATGGGGGTGTCGCAACAGTCACGAGCATGAAAAAAACGGTCATAAGTCACTTTTTTCAGTGTTGTTGTAATTTTGAATGCTCACTCAACAAATAATTGTAAGTTGAGGACTATCTGTAACAGATAAATGGGGGTTGTTTAGAGAAACATACATGCTTATTTTTCTAGACTCAAAGAAGCAGGGCAGGAAAGAAACTTGATGGGCAACAAGGAATATCTGCAGACACAGAGATGGATGATCTGACATTTGCTAGTCTTCTTCACGTGATCCATCTACTACAAGGGTCTTCAAACGTGGCCCTTTTATGACTTGTGGACTTCAACTCCCAGAATTCCTCAGCCAGTGATGCTGACTGAGGAATTCTGGGAATTGAAGTCCACAAGACATAAAAGGGCCACGTTTGAAGACCCCTGATCTACCAGAACTAGATCATGAGGAAGGAAGAAGTACCTTGTTCAAATTCCAATCCTGAATTACTCCACCCAGCTATGATCTATCGTCAACCTGATCCTTCAGGTCTTCCTCTGTTGGCCATCCTCTTCTCTTTCCTTCCACCTTTCCCATCATTATAGACTTCTCAAGGGAACTAAAATCTTCACATAGTTGTTTCAAAATATAAACTAGCATCTTTTATTTTTCTTTTGGGTGTCGTTTTATATATATTTGATTAAAAAAAATGGGTGACCACTGAAATTTGCAAATGGGTAGGCAGATGAACCACAATCTTATTTGACCTTCATTGAACACACTCCCCAGTCTCCTCCATTTAATGCTGGAAAATGGCACCAAATGATACGAGTGTAATCACGTTCCAATGAAAGAGAAATCCTATGTTTGCCCGCAACCCCAAGAGAACTATCAGCGCAAAGCACACAGACTTGGTTGCCACAATTTACTAAGTTAAAATGTAGTTTGTTTTCATTAAGAATGTTGCATGAATACACCACTTTGCTTTGTGAAATCTGGTTCGTGGCTTAGCGTAATGTGTGAACCAAGCCAATTGTGGTATAGCCAATATATTATGATTAAGTAAACCATAACTGAACATAATGTGTGAATTATGTTAAATTATGAATTAAGGTTATAAGATTTTATAGCAGGACCACACAGCGAAGCTTCATCTAAACCAGGGGTCCCCAACCAGAGGTACGAGACGATATTCCAGGGGGTGCAAAAACTTGGGTTTTCAAAGTTATAGTGTATATGCATAATTTGTTGTCGTTATTTCGAACTTTTGTAAGGGGTGTGAGAATATATCAGAAGCGTTCTAGGGGTGCGGGGATAGAAAAGGTTGGGAGCCGCTGATCTAGACAATATTTTAAATATATGTATGCTTAAGCCTATCTAGTTGTTTATATTTAAACAATAAAAGTCCCTAGAGAAGGGAAGGAATTGGTACATTCAAAAAAACCTTCTTAAACCTGCAAAGAGGCAGCAGCTTTGGGGAGAAACAGATTGAAATGCTGGGAGCAATGAATTAAGCTGCCATTTAAGAATGAAACCCAAACACTTTAAAATAAACACACATTTAGTACATCATCTAATTTGCCTTAAAGTTCAGTAGTCACCCTCTGCTTTTTAACAAACCAACTCAACAGTTTGTAAGCAAACAGAATTAAACTTAGATTTAGAAGAAAACACAGAAATCAGAACCCAACAAAACAATATGCAATATCCTATTTTCTGAAAGAAGATGCACTACTACTGATTAATATGGCACTGCTACACATCATTACCTGGGGTGCAAGGGACACCATCGGATGAGTAGCTGGCTCAAGAGAGTTACTCACTCGGGCAGAAGCTGGACAGCTGTTGGCAGCATAGTAGTTCCGAAGTTTCTTACTGTGGTTTTTACCCTGGAAAATCAAATTTCTGTTATTAGCCTAGCACAGGGGTAGGCAACCTTGGCTCTTTTACGACTCGTGGACTTCAGCTCCCAGAATTCCTGAGCCAGCCATGCTGAGGGGAAAGGGAAAGGTTTCCAAGCTGAGCCATGCTGGCTCAGGAATTCTGGGACTTGAAGTCCACGAGTCATAAAAGAGCCAAGGTTGCCTACCCCTGGCCTAGCACAAACTGCACCAAAGCCATCAGTGACCTACCACCATTCCTTCTTAAGCCTTCATCAATACTAAGTGGTGGAATTAAATCTTCAGAGCTTCCCTTTCTAGGGTTTTTTTTTTGGGAGGAGGGGGGTCCATGAGAGGTGGATTTGTGGTTAGATTAAGGAGGGAAATTGGTGCTTTAAGCCTTGCAGGGGTTGAAGGACGCTTTTTACCCCATAGAATGCTTAAAACTGCTCCCTACCAAAGAGTCTTGAACACATCCACATCAGGAGTGGAGTCCTGATGGGCCATTCAGTCTGAAATAGCTCTTGAATAGAGAGACATTCCTGTATTAAGAAGCAGGTCTTTGTAATCAAACTAGGAAGGCGAGAGAGAAAAAACAGCATAATTTCAGAAGGTGATTTTTACCTGGATTTTAGAACAGGTATAATCTCCCTGACTTTGGACAGATGCAGGTAGTCCTTAACTTACAACCATTCCTTTAGTGACCATTTGAAGTTGCAGCACTGAAAAAAGCGACTTATGACTGTTTTTCACACTTAACAACTGCTGCAGCATCCCCACGGTCACATGATCAAAATCTGGGTTACTTGGCAACTGGCATTTGTTTATGCACACCGCTCGCACAAGTGAAGCTGCACAAGCATACTTGCCAGCCACTCACAGGGAACCATCCCCTCTCCCCCTCCTCCGTCAGTCCGCAAAGCCCGAATTACATGGACAAAGCTGAATTAATAATGGAATGCATTGCCATTAAATTATTATTATTATTATTATTATTATTATTATTATTATTATTATTATTATTATTATTATTAATTATTTATTTATTTGTTTGTTTATTTATTTATTTATTTATTTATTTATTTATTTATTTATTTATTTATTTATTTATTTATTTATTTATTTATTGTATTTTTACCCCGCCCTTCTCCTTGCGGACTCAGGGCGGCTAACAGCCTAATAAAAACAAATACAAAAATACAAAAAATACTATCTTTAAAAACATAATTAAAAGGAAATATTAATTTGGCCTTTGTTATTTTAAAAATTATTTTAAAACCCAGCTAAAAATTACCCCTTAGGCCAGTCCTGCTAGCTGAAATAACCATGTCTTAAGGGCGCGGCGGAAGGAAGGGAGATCCGGGATCACCTTGATCTCTGGGGGTAGTTCGTTCCATAGGGTGGGAGCTCCCACCGAGAAGGCCCTCCCCCTGGGGGTCGCCAGCCGGCACTGTCTGGCTGACGGCACCCTGAGGAGACCCACTCTGTGGGAGCGTACCGGCTGATGGGAGGTAATCTGAGGCAGAAGGCGGTCTCGGAGATATCCAGGTCCGATGCCATGGAGCGCTTTGAAGGTGATAATCAACACCTTGAAGCGCACCCGGAAAGCCACCGGTAGCCAGTGCAGCTCGCGCAGTAACGGCGTTACATGGGAGCGACAAGTCCCTCCCAACACCACCCGCGCGGCTGCATTCTGGACTAACTGGAGCCTCCGAGTGCTCCTCAAGGGGAGCCCCATGTAGAGAGCATTGCAGTAGTCCAGGCGGGAGGTGACAAGGGCATGGGTGACTGTGCAGTAGTCCAGGTGGGAGGTGACAAGGGCATGGGTGACTGTGCGCAAGGTGGGATGGGAAATAGACAAATTCACTGGGGGGGGAATCAGATTGTTAACCTTGATGGATACATACTAGGTAGGATTATAAATGGTATAGAACAGGGGTAGGCAACCTTGGCTCTTTTATGACTCGTGGACTTCAACTCCCAGAATTCCTGAGCCAGGCTGGCTCAGGAATTCTGGGAGTTGAAGTCCACGAGTCATAAAAGAGCCAAGGTTGCCTACCCCTGGTTTAGAATATGGCTATTATAGTATATGATTGTGTTCTGTCTTACAAACAAAGTAAGCTTTTATCCTGAATATTATTTTTCAGGAATCCTGTCCTTTTTATGAGATTACTAGATTTCTATGCTGATCATTATATAATTTAAAAAAAATAAGTAGAATTCAAGCCTCCAATTTTTACTTCATTGGGCCCATTATTATTCTTTCCTTATGTTTATCATGGTTCATTCCAATTAGTTATACCTTGTCTTTCAAAACAGAAACCCTTCTTACAAACCACGATCACAGGGAAAAAAAGCAGGTTTCTTTGAAAAGGAGATGCTTCATTTATAATCTTTGTATTGCAAACTTATGGCAAAGGTTTTATGTGAAGCACGACTCCTGTTTTATAATTCAGCTTTTAGTCCAATATAGAAGCTGTCTAAAGATGGGCCAAAACAGTGTGCCAGTTCAGGCTGTCCTCAATTTACAACCACAATGAATTCTGCCCATTACAGTCATAGGTTGTGACAGTCGTAAATTAAATCAGTCACGTGACCAACCCAATTTTATGACTATTTTGTGGCAGTCATTAAGCAAACATGGCTATCATAAGACAACTGCCATGTTCATTACTGTAAGCAAACCATTGTTTGCTAAGGTGCAGTTTTGCAGAAAACCAGAAATAACTTCCAGTTTAAGGCAAAATAGTCATAAAACATAGTCATGTGACTATGGGATGCCCCAAATCGATGTAAATACAGCCATGTTGCCAAGCACCCGAAGTGTGGTCACGTGACCAGCGGGGAGGAGCCAACTGTCAGAACTTCAGAACTGGGACATACCGTGTTTCCCCGAAAATAATATTGATTTTTGCTCCAAAAGATGCATTAGAGCTTATTTTCTGGTTAGCTCTTATTTTCAGAGAAATACAGTACTAAATGCGTCTGTCTGGCTGATGATGTTGACTGGGGGCTTATTTTTGGGGTGGGGCTTATATTACAAGTGCCCTGAAAAATCATGCTAGGGCTTATTTTCCAGTTGAGTCTTATTTTCGGGGAAACACAGTAATTCCCTTTTTTGTAGGTAGGTTGCAACTTTGATTGCGAGGACTACCTGCTTCTTCTCAAACAAACTGCAGTCTATAGCAATGGCACTTAGACTTATATACCGCCCCATAGGGCTTTACAGCACTCTCGAGGGCAGGGGTGTCAAACTTGCAACGTCACGTGACATGTCACGACGTATCGCGACTTTTTTTTCATTGCTGGCAATGAGGTGGGCGCGATTTTGGCATAACGTATCCGGCCTACGAGCCGGCAGTTTGACACCCCTGCTCTAGGGGGTTTACAACGTCAGCATAATTTGCATATTGCCTCCAACAATCTAGGTTAGTGATGGCAAATCTTTTAGAGACCGAGTGCCCAAACTGCAACCCAAAACCCATTTATGCATCGTCGGGTGCCGGGTGGGTGTGGCCATTGGGTGGGTGTGGCCATTGGGTGGGCATGGCCATTGGGTGGGCGTGGCTGCAGTGGTAACGGCAGACTGGGTGGGACTAAAAAGTTCAATCAATCAATTCCAACTTTGCAAGATCTTTTTTTCCCGCAAGAAGTTGAAATTGACTGATTGATTGAACCTTTTTTTTGTTTTGCACATGGAGGCAGAGGCTTAAAGCGAAAAGGTTTTATAAAACCCAGCTGAAGGCCTAGGACTGGGGCGACAGCACGCGTGCCCACAGAGAGGACTCTGAGTGCCGCCTCTGGCACCCGTGCCATAGGTTCGCCACCACTGATCTAGGTCCTCATTTTACCGACCTCGGAAGGATGGAAGGCTGAGTCAACCTCGAGCCCATTAGGATTGAACTCTGGGCAGTGGGCAGAGTTAACCTGCAGTTTATACGCTGACACCTCCAATGATATCACCTTGGATGATAAATGGCAACCTTCGGCTGTGAAACCCACTGCACTACACAGGAGATTTGGACATGCAGACAGGGTATCCTCACCTGGTAGTGTGCCTGGGCTTGCTGGGCAGAGTTCAGGGTAACGTTGCAAAGCCTACAGCACAATGGCTTGCATAGTTCTTCCAGCAAGGGGTCCTGCTCCCCCCTCGTGGCGAGTTCCTCATCTTGAGCAAGTGGCAAGGATGGCCCCGGTCCCAGCGGTTTCGGTGGTGAAAGTGGCAAGGTGGCTGTGGGCCTGGTGGCCACTGACATAGGAAGAGATGGGGGCGTTTCAGGAGGAGGAAGAGGAGGAAACCCAGCTTGCTGCAAAAGAATCATTGGCTGACCGGCCTTCCAGCATTCTCTCTTCGAAACCCAAAGACGACTTCGGATCCAGACTGAAAAGCAAGAGAAAAATTCAACTCAACAGGCGCCTCCAATGACAAATGTCAGAATTGGGTTGGGTAGTATACCTACAGGGCAAGATTTGGTTCAACTCGTTCACAGTATTCACCCACTAAGGAATCTTTATAAAGTCTATTAAGTCACAATTGGCTTGATAATAAACTGTGGCTTGCAGTCCTCACTAAGTTCGCATGAGAGGCTATGCCAAAGCCCAGAAAGTTCACTTTTTAGCCTACTGCAAGTGTGCAAAATGTGAGGTCCAGTGGCTACATGAGATCCACCAGCATTCCTTCCATAATCCTGCCCCCTGGAGGGGAGAGAGTCAGGACCAAAATTTTGGAGTTTTGAGAGCTTTTGTGGGATTTGGCGTGCTATAAAGGTCAAAACAGTTGCCCTGCTGCACCATTCCCCAAATCTGCTTCAAAATTGGGGATATATAGCCTCAGAGGTTTTAGGGGTGTAGCCCTTGACATGTTACCAGTAGCCTAGTGTGGTCCTCAAGTCAATGGAACTTGTTAGTCTCTGGTTTAGGATAGGATACAGGTAGTCCTTGACTTACAGCCACAATTGAGCCCAAAATTTCTGTTGCTAAGTGTCAAGGTAATAATGTAACAGCTAACCAGCTTGTATAATGTGAGATGTATGATGTAATGTTGGGAATGAGTCAGCAGGGTCTATGTCCCTTTAAGAGCCAGCTGAGTCTGTGTCTCTTTAAGAGCCTTTGTATAAAAGGGAAGGCTCCGCAGATGTGTTCTGTCTCTTCCGTTTCCTGCTGTAACTGCTATGTGTTGGAGCCTGTTGTATTAACACTTGTATGTATATTGTTCCTGATGTATGATATTGTAGATAGAGTAAAATAAACCACCATTTAATATAGACCACTGTTTACTGTGTTTACTCCTGGGTTATCTCAGCACAATAAGACTGTGCATGCTCTGACACTAAGTGAGACAGTTGTTAAGTGAATTTTGTCCCATTTTTATGACCTTTCTTGCCACAGTTGTGAAGTGAATCATTGCAGTTCTTAAGTTAGGAACACAGTTGTTAAGTGAATCTGACTTCCCTATTGATTTTGCTCATCAGAAGGTCACAAAAGATGTTCACATGACCCCGGGACACTGCAACCATCATAAATATGAGTCAGTTGCCAACTGTCTGAATTTTGATCATTGATCTTGGGGAGACTGCAACGATCGTAAGTGTGAAAAATAAGTCACTTTTTTCAGTGCTATTGTCAGTGCTTTTTTTGTAAAAAAAAAAAAAAAGGTGCTGGAACTTACACATGCCTACCCTACAAGGTTCCATCCAAAAAAGGTGCCGGAACTCCCTTCTGGGCGTTCTATGACAAAAAAAGCCCTGGCTATTGTAACTTTGAACGGTCAGGCCACTAAGGGAACTGTTGTAAGTCAAGAACTACCTGTATACTCCCAGCCATACGATCTTAGGTCAACTAGGGGGGGGGGGGGAAACCCTTTTTTTTTAGACTTTTGTCTTCCAACTCAGCTTTCCCACACTCTTGTTTTCCTGAGCTGAGTGGCAAATCTGGGAGTTGAAATCCAACATCAGTGGAGACCAAACTGGAGAGGCGTGTTTGTGATATCAAACAGGAATATCATAAATGGTAACGTAGTTTAAGAAAGGAAGCTTCCCATCTGCAGATATGCCGTTTCTGTGGAATACTGAAATTTTGTGGGATCGCCACAATATTAACTTGCTGAAAACATAATCCATTGGATGATTACCAATGTTACCTAGTTTGGTAACGAAATGTCCAGAAACTATATTTGAAACAAGCTTGGAGAGCAAAACCACTGCCAAAAATCTAAAACCCGAGCTACAAGTATTTTCTATTATTCCATTGGATGATTCTTTCTTGGTCCTTGGTTTTGAAATAAATAGTAAACGGTGGGCATGAAAAAAACTGTACATATATCTATAAGTGGTAGATGTGTCATACAGCCCCAAACCTATTAAAGATTGCAACAATTTACTTTACCCATAAGCATTCCTTCCAGGCCATCTGCCTGGAACTGCAAGAAACAGAAAGCAGAGCCAAATACGCATAGCTACACATCTGGTTACTGCACTGCTTTAGGTCTGGTGAGGCAAGAGTACAGATTGCACAAGGCAGTGAGAAAAATTGGAGGGTTTAGTTCACTTTTTTATATTTTTCAATGGCGGGGCATCAAAAGAAGAAAGACAAGGTCTAATCTTTTTTTTTTTTAACCAAAAGTACAGGTAGTCCTCAGCTTACGACCACAATTAAGCCCAGAATTTCAGCTGCTAAGCAAGGCGGTTGTTCGTCCAGTCATGCCCCGCTTTTTACAAGCTTTTTGCCAAGATTGTTAAGTGAATCAGTGCAGTTGGTAAGTGAATCGGGTGGTCGTTAAGGAGAATCTGGCTTCCCGCATTGACTTTGCTTCTCAGACGCTGGCTACGATGGTCGCAAATGTTGGTCACGTGACCCCAGGATGCTGCCATTTCATAAACACGTGCCAAGTTGCCAAGCACCCAAATTTTAATCACATGACCATGAGGACGCTGCAACCGTCGTAAGTGTGAAAACTGGCCGTAAGTCATTTTTTTTGGTGGCATTGTAAGTTCGAAGCTCACTAAACAAATGGTTGTGAGTGTAGGATTACCTGTGTTGTCTAGCAAAAATTGGAACGTGGAATTTTGATTTAATTTCATCTTCATCATTTGCTTCTCCTCAGCCTTGATTTAATATGCTAGCATTAAACACCTAACTGTGTATAGGAGAGCTGGCAAACTGCAAAAAGAGTGAGGCAGAGGTAGGCAACCTTGGCTCTTTTATGACTCGTGGACTTCAATTCCCAGAATTCCTGAGCCAGCCATGCTGAGGGGAAAGGGAAAGGTTTCCAAGCTGAGCCATGCTGGCTCAGGAATTCTGGAAGTTGAAGTCCATGAGTCATAAAAGAGCCAAGGTTGCCTACTCCTGGAGTAGGGCCTTCTCGGTAAGTGGCACTACAACCACGGAACTCCTTCCCTGTGACAATTCATCAGGCTCCTTTAATCTTTCCCCCCATCACAAACACATACAGGTAGTCCTTGACTTACGACCACAGTCGAGCCCAAAATCTACGTTGCTAAGTGAGACATTTAAGTGAATTTTGCCCCATTTTACAACCTTTCTTGCCATGGTTGTTCAGTGAATCACTGCAGCTGTTAAGCTAGTGACCCAGTCGTTAAGCGAATCTGGCTTCCCCATTGACTTTGCTTGTCAGAAGGTATGAAAAGATGCTCACATGACCCCGGGACACTCCAACCGCCATAAATATGAACGGGTTGTCAAGTGTCTGAATTTTGATCACATGATCGTGGGGATGCTGCAACCGTTGTAAGTGTGAAAAATGATCATAAGTCACTTTTTTCAGTGCCGTTGTAAGTTCAAATGGCCACTAAATGAACTGTTGTTCTACCTGTACATGTCTGTCTGTGCGCATGCTCAATAACAATTTGTTTCAGGACATTCTCAAAACTAATACCTCTCTCACTTATATTTTCCATTGATGGCAACCGCAGTAATAGTCCATGAACTGGGTATATGCATAATTCTGTATTTATTTATTTATTTATTTTTGGCATATTTATGTAGTGTATATTGGAGGTGGTGACCCTCTGAGAGCTGTGTGCAACAAAATTTCATTTTAATGTATGCCGATTAGTGTACATTCAAAGTGACAATAAAGTTATTATTCTGTTCTGTTCTATTCTATCTGGTTCATTGAAGAGTTACAGGAAATCTGATTGGCGAAGAGATGATGATGATGATGATGATGATGATGATGATGATGATGATGACAAATGTATGATATCATGCATGCAATACCAATGTACGATGGTCTGCTATCACTACAGGAAGAAAATTCAGGAGATACCTGAATATCTGAAGCTTCAGGTATCTTCCAGCATTCTATGCAAAGCTTGCCAAGGAACACACTTGTTGCTAGACAACACTATTGACATTTGTATAAACTTTTTTCTGTTATTATATACTCCCTGTTCTCCCCCCCCCCCAAAATTGAAGGCCACATACAGTAATGTAAGGCAGTCTAAGTGATGTGTATATACAAGATGGGCAGGATATAATTTTTGCTAGATGCAATGCACACACACACAGGCACACACAAAAACACAAAAATTGAACTCAGTGAGTCATATTTCTGCTTCCTACTTTTAGTGAAGGGAGGAAAACAATTCCCCCCCTCCACTTTATTCTAAGAACTCTGCAAAATAAGTTGAGAAACAGTGACTGGTGAAGGCCACACAGCGAAATTCATTGCTCAGGGGGACTTGAATAAAATCCAATCTTTTAAACGCTTCACTATTAAGGTGATTGATTTGACTGAACTGAAATTTGCTTTTGATCTGCAATACCTTTTCTAATTCTTCTTCTCCCAAAGAAGGGAAAGAAATAAGTAAACACTGTTCAGCAATATTTCTTTCACATAACCCCATCTACCCCATCTGAACATTTCAGTCAGTTCAAAGAGAAAACACCATAAAACAAGATAAACATGAGGCCTTCATAAAAATGCCTGCAGATGGAAAATCGGTGTAGGGAAGGGGGGGAACCCACCCCACCCCTAAATTTAGACAAGGGTGCTCAGACATTCCAGCAGTCCCTACTAGATTTTCTTCATTTTTTCTTTGAAAATGTGTCGCTTTTCATCTGAACTGAACTGAAGAAGCAAAAACATTTTCAAGCAAAAAAACAAGAAAGTCCAGTTGCCTTTTGGAAAAAGCACCTTTGGGATAATCATGACCCGGATGATTGAGACACTCCTTAGACATTCAGAGATTCCAGCAGGGCACCTGTTGCTCACGGGGCACCTAACAAGAACATGTGTGCATTCTCCCTACATTGTTGTGACTTTTCCTGGAGAAGTATTACTGCCATTGCACTGGTCTCAAGTGTCCAGGTTTTGCAATACTTCATTATGGCAAATAAAAGTGAGCCATCAGGAGAGATCTTTCCATGTTAGCTAAATAAATACATAACTGGGAAACTGGACAGATTTTCCAGAAGGAACTAGCAAGCTTCAGCAGTTGAAAGCTAGAGCAACTCATCTAGGAATGAAAGTTGATCTCTAGTGCTTGATTCTGGATTCATGAAATGGAAAGGAGCACCCTGGGAGAGCCTATTAAAATAGGAGGATCTGATAACTCATGCAGAAAATTCACAACACCAAATGAGATTTTTTACTACTCCCCCATCTCACCCCAAAAGAGAACAGACTCAGCACAGCTTAGAGTACATCCTTGTATGGCTGAGGCTGCAGAGCAGGCTCTTCTCAGGTTAATTTAAGCATTACAGGTAGTCCTCGACTTACAACAGTTCATTTAGTGACCGTTCAAAGTTACAACGGCACTGAAAAAAAGGGGACTTATGCCTGTTTTTCCCAGTTATGACCATTGTAGCATCCCCACGATCACGTGATCAAAATTCGGACACTTGGCAACTGACTCACAGTTGTGACGGTTGCAGTGTCCCAGGGTCATAAAATCACCTTTTGTGACCTGACAAGCAAAGTCAATGGGGAAAGCCAGATTCACTTTACGACTGTGTTACTAATTTAACAACTGCAGTGATTCACTTAACAACTGTGGTAAGAAAGGTCGTAAAATGGGGAAAATGTCTCCCTTAGCAACATCAATGTTGCACTCTATTGTGATAGTAAATTGAGGACCATCTGGTTTGGTTTTTTTTTCTCCCTCTCTCACTTACTCCAGTGTTCTGGGGGTCTCACGAGAGACTGATTGCTAAACTGCAAGGGATTGATACCATCATCGTCATCCTCATCATCACCATCACCATCATGAGTTTCCTTCCTCCCTCGCCTTCTCGATCCGATCCAGTCCTGCCTCTCCCTTTCCAGATACAGATGTGCATCGCCTTGCAGCCACTCCAAAAGACTTTTCCCCCAAAACCAAGCTGAACAACAACAGCTGCCACAGAGGTGTCAAAAGGCCCGGAACCACGAAAGGCAGAGCCGGAGCCTCCGCTTCCTCGCCGGGGTCTGCCGGGTCACGGCGCTCCCCACGCCAAATCTCCGGAAGAGAAGGCAGGCAGGGAGGGAGGAAGACGGCATGAACCTACCGGCTTTCTACGAGCTGGAAGAAGAGGAGAGGGAGGTGCGCGGGCGTCAGTCGCCTCCAGGACGCCGATCGCCGGCTGCGGCGCGCTCCGTTGCAGGCTCAGCACCTCCGGCTCGCTCTTCCCATCTCCCCAGCCCGGCTGCCTGCATAGCCAAGGAGAGAGGCTGAGACCGGGGGGAGGGCGTCGCATAACCGGACACAGATGCGAACAGCTGCAGGAAGTGACCGCAGAGCCCAACCGGAGGGGAGGAGACTCGGGGAAACTACCCTGCCACGTCTCCTCCCAGAGCGCATGGATCTTCCAGGGCCCGGCCGAATCGCTTTTCGCCGGTGCGGGCTTCCCCCAGCCCAGGGGTAGGCAACCTCGGCTCTTTTATGACTCGTGGACTTCAACTCCCAGAATTCCTGAGCCAGCTATGCTGGCTCAGGAATTCTGGGAGTTGAAGTCCATGAGTCCATTTAGGGTTGCCAGGTGTCCACTATTTGAGTGGACAGTCCACTTTTTTCACATTATGTTCACTATTTTTTTCCACAAAATAGTGGACATTATTTTTTATTCAAAAGCTTTATGATGAAATGGTACGTAATCTAAAGCTGTACAGTCTACTTTTTTTACTACTTAACACACACACACACACCCCGCTTGTCCACTATTTTTTGGAAGCAGACCTGGCAACCCTATGAGTCATAAAAGAGCCGAGGTTGCCTACCCCTGCCCCAGCCGGAGAGCCTCCGAGCGCGCTGGACCCACAACTCCCAGGGTGCCGATTCCCAGGACCGAATCTTACATTTGGGGGAATCCTAGGGCAGGTGGAAAACCCGCTGCAAGGATGCCTCGATTTTGCAGAGCCGGTTAGGAGTTACCGGTGTCTCGCGTGCCGCGCGGTTCAGCTTAAGCCACTGTTGCGTTGACCCAACTGCTGGATGTGGCCGATGCACGCTAACCCAATATCAAAGGGATCACAGTCTAATTAAGCCCAGCGCGTGCCCCTAACTTCGTGGTACTTGCAGTGTTTCTCAACCTTGACAATTTTAAGGCATGTGGACTTCAACTCCCAGAATTCCACAGCCAGCAATGCTGGCTGTGGAATTCTGGGAGTTGAAGTCCACATGCCTTACAATTGGCAAGGTTGAGAAACACTGTGTTAGGGTATCCAGAGAATTGCTTTCCCCCCCCCGCCACTGTAAAGTAACAGAGTATAGTATCGTAACCACCGAAAAGAATAAAACTGTTATGACGGCGCATAATTCTATAAATAAAAAATGCCTTTTAAAAAACAAAAGAATCATGGAGTTGAGCATTTAGGGTTTTGAAATTCCATCTCCCTCTTGTTGAATGCAGTGATGGGAACAAAAACATCCATACACCGAATAGCCCAGGGCAGGGGTAGGCAACCTTGGCTCTTTTAGGACTCGTGGACTTCGACTCCCAGAATTCCTGAGCCAGCTATGCTGGCTCAGGAATTCTGGGAGTTGAAGTCCACGAGTCCTAAAAGAGCCAAGGTTGCCTACCCCTGGCCCAGGGTTATCACATGTAGGCTGCAAAACTCTAAATGGTCACTAGATGGCACTGAATCTTCAGACTCTCAGTTGTCATCCAAGGTTGCTTGCCCTGAAGTTTACAGCCCAGACAAGGGATAAACACTGGAGATCACGTGTGAAGTGCCCCCCTCCCATTAGTACTAATTAGAAGTGGGTGCTTTTTCCTCGTTATATCATAACCTTATACAGTCAGCATAGTTTCCCACTCTGTCTCTTTCTTTCTAAGCCATGATATATATAGTGGGATTACACAAACTGATTCCCAAACTCCTGATGCCAGGTCAGGGTTCTCCCATGCCAAATCTAGCAAGTAAGGCTTAGCGTGATATTTAAACCCAAACTAGTTTATTTAACAATAGTTTACTGATAACAGATTAATTGGCTTTATGAATCTAATCACTGCCTGCAACACAATGATTAGATTACTCCTTTTCTGTATATAACAGGTTGTCAAAATGCTAAATTATTATTTTTTAGCCATTAACCATCCAGTTGCTTCACATTAAGCATTCTGAGAGTAAAAAAAAAATTACACCGCAGGGTTTTGTTTTGTTTTTAATTTCCATTCAACTGTGTCCAGTTTTTGGAGACTGCCTGGACAAGTCCCTGCAGTTTTCCTGGCCAGGTTTTCCAGAAGTGGTTTTACATTGCTGAGAGAAAGTGACTAGCCCAGTGGTTCTCAACCTTTTTAATGCCGCGACCCCAACCGGTCGTAAGTCGAGGACTAAATCGGTCGTAAGTCGAGGACTAAACCGGTCATAAGTCGAGGACTACCCAACCGGTCGTAAGTCGAGGACTTTCCCTGCCCGGGAGCACCGTGCATGCGTGGTTCCGCCCCCTGCACCGGCCGAGGCGTAGCTGGCAAGCGGCAGAGACGGAGCAGGCCGACCACCAGCTGGCCCAGCCCAAGGGAGGTAAGGCACCGGCTGGAAAAGGGGGAAAAAATGGCGGACAAAAAAAATGGCGGACAAAAAAAATGGCAGACAGCCTTGCTTGGCGACCCCCGTGAAATGGTCGATCGACCCCAAATGGGGTCCCGACCCACAGGTTGAGAACCACTGGACTAGCCAAAGGTCACCCAGATGGCTTTGTAGCCAAGATGAGTCAAGAATTCACAGGCTGACAAAACCAAGAGAAGCACCAGAGAGCAGCGAAGGATACATGTCATGCTACTTTGCTCCCATCTAGTGGGTTTCTAGATTTTTGCAGCTCAGATCTCATTTTGCTTCAAGATACCAAGCATCTTTAAAAATAAAAAGGTAAAGATAAAGGTTTCCTCTGTCCAGTCAGGTACGACTCTAGCGGGTGGTGCTCATCTCCATTTCTTAGCTGAGGGAGCCTTCATTGTCCAAAAACACTTCCGTGGTCATGTGGCCAGCATGACTACACACCAAGGGAAACAAATGCTGTGACCTTCCCATAGAGGTGGTACAAATTTATTGACTTGCATTTGCACGCTTTCAAACTGCTAGGTGAGCAGGAACTGGGGCAAGTAATGGGAGCTCACTCCATCGCATGATGCTTAGCTCTTAAACCTGGGCTGCAGTTGACAACACACTGGTAAAAATACATACAGTAATTCAAATATTTACACTAAGCATTTTACTGTGGTTAAAGGCACGGAAAACATTGAAACGTATCCTTATTTCTACATATCACATTAACAGTAATCATCCAGGAACAAAAAGCATGTGTCAAAATGCAGCAGGTTTGCTATCAGTTGTTTTGTGTTTCACCCAAGTGATGTGTCAGGATTTACTCTTTCTTCTGAAATGAATAAACAGTTGAAACTAAAAATTCTTTTTAAAGAAGCCTGATGTGAATTAGAATATTCTACTTCAGAGGAACCAGTACTGTCAACAAGTGATATTTATTAAAATAAACTAAATGCAAATAAAATAGTTTTATTAACATTATTTAACATTTCAACAAGACATTTGTGGAGTTTTGCTCCGTTTTAGGACCCTTCTTGCCATAGTTGTTAAGTGAACAACTGCAGTTAAGTTAGTAACCTGGTTTTTAAGTGAATCTGGCAAAAAGGTGATCACAAGAACCCAGGACACCAATTGCCAAGTGTTCAAATTTTTATCACATGACTGTGGGGATGTGGTAACAGTAGTCCCCGTGAAAAACGGTCATGCCACTTTTTTCAGTGTCATTGTAACTTTGTTCACTAAATGAATGGTTGTAAGTTGAGGACTATCTGTATAAGAAGAATATATGTATGTCTCATATGCAATGTTCTTTTTTAGTTGCGAAGTCGTGTCCAACCCATCGCGACCCCATGGACAACGTTCCTCCAGGTCTTCCTGTCCTCTACCATCTTCTAGAGTCCATTTAAGCTCATGCCTACTGCTTCAGTGACTCCATCCTCATTCTCTGTCGTCCCCTTCTTCTATTGCCCTCAATCTTTCCCAGGATTAGGCTCTTCTCCAGTGAGTCCTTCCTTCTCATTAGGTGGCCAAAGTATTTGAGTTTCAACTTCAGGATCTGGCCTTCCACAGAGCAGTCGGGGTTGATCTCCTCTAGGATTGACCGGTTTGATCGCCTAATTATCCTATTAATTATTCAAATTTAGCCCAAAAGTTTGCACTGATAGGGCAAATGGAAACCATATGAATTAATATTTCATTTCCTGAATTGCATCTCCAACAGGAAGGCTAATGCAACTAACCCTTATTCAATATTTACTGAGACATGAAATACACAAAGCACATTAACTGTTATTCCTGGCATCTGTTGAAACCACTCTCCTAGCTTAGGACTCGCAGCTCCAAGTGCTCCTGTTACCATTGGTATCATTTTTTGCTTTTATTTTCCACATCCCCTCTAATACCTCCTTCAGGCCCCAATATTTTTCCAGTGTCTCATATTCTTTCTTCTCCCAGATGTTGCTGTCACTTGGTACCACTGTATCTATCACCATCTTCTGGTTCTTGTCTTCTACTGCAATATCTGGTTGATTAAGGTTGACTCAGCCTTCCATCCTTCCGAGGTCGGTAAAAATGAGGTCCCAAATTGTTGGGGGCAATATGCTGACTATGTAAACTGCTTAGAGAGGGCTGTGAAGCACTGTGAAGTGGTATATAAGTCTAAATGCTATTGCTATTGCTGTTGATTGAGCAGTACCTGCCTGTCCATCTGGATCTGGAAGTTCCACAGGATCTCAGCCCTCTTAATTCTCCATGATCTTCTGTGGAAATCTTCATCCGGACTTGAGAAGATCTAGTCTGCACACCATGCAGATATTCCTGTATATAAGCCAACTAGTTGGTTGTGCCTTTTCATGCAAGCTGTTCCTTCCTACCTGCCTCTTATATCCTGTTACTAAGTGTGGAACAGCCTCTCTGCAGTCTGCAACTTGGGTCCTATATATACATATGTGTGGGATCCTCTATGTACACAAACACACAATTTGTACATTGCCCTACTGGTAACAACTCTGGGCTATTTTTGCTTAATTAGGAACTATT